AGCCCGTAAGTCGATTTTTTCAAATAGAAATATAATTATGTATAATTACATACAACTGACATTTTCTCGGCCTCAGTGAAATATTTCCAACTATATTTTCGAAAATAGCCTAATTAACTAAAAGCCAGGAGTAAATCATGTGCTCGTAAACCAGCTTTATCAAATAAAAAACGAGCTTGACATAAGCATGACACAAAATAAGCAAAATTATTGTTATCTATTTTTGGAAAGTTACTGCACATATTTTCTAAATTACATAAAAAAATTTAAACAAAACCTGTTATAAAATATTTTTGGAAAATACCAACGTGAAGGAAAACGAACTGTGTTAAAATGTAGCTTCATATTCATACACCTTCTATTCTTAATTTTAAAATTTTCGTCAAAATGTGTTTCGCAAACGAAAGGATTGTGTGGTTTTTGAAAAGTTTAGGTTGTTTATCTAAAATTCTCGCTATTAAGGGACGTAATATAAGGTAGTTTGAACAGTGAATTAGGACCACCAGATTTATTGGGACACCTTTCGACGGCACAGTTTTTTTTTGTCGTTTTTAAATGTGAGATTGTACATATTTTGCACTTTAACTACGAGTACCTACTTGTGCCAAACTAACAGCGACAAATGTAAATACAGTCAAATATCTAAAAGAAAAATTTAATTTTGAAGGCCTAGGTCTTCTACATTTGGGCCCAAGGATTTTTTAAATTTTTTTCTCAATCAGCTCAACAACGTGTCATAGATTTAGTGCGCCATTTTTAAATCATCTGTATAGAATTATAGAGATATATTTTTTTATACCATATAACGTATTGTATAGGATTATTATAAAATATAATACATCATGTTGACTTTGAAATTTGGTGAATTTTGCCGCTTCGTTGTAACAATCGATTACTACTGTTTGCCTGTCACAATTTTTTAGATGCGTTCGCTGTTGATAGATAGGCAACCAATAATTTAACTCTAATGATAGCTTTGTTATCTATTTCAATGAAACGGCCGACAAGTTCTTATTACAATTTATTATTAAAAGTGCAGTGTCTAAAACTACTACTACCCTTTGTACTTAATTACGCAGCGTAATACTGTGCTCAAGTTTCCTTGCCTTCGACGCAATCCAAAGAGCAGTTTTGTTTATGACGTTCAAGCATTTCTAAACTAAGAAAGAGTAGTATTTTTATTAAAGTTTTGTAAGCAATATTGCGTTTTAGGATATATGTTTTTAACAAATATTTGTAAGAATATATTTTTCCTTATAAAATTTTAACACGGCAATTTCACCCTAAACAGACACACGGACCATCGACCCGACTTCACATGCAGAATGTACTCAGAGGACGTTGAAACCCTCCAGCACATTCTGTGTTCCTGCTTGACACTTGCTAGCATCAGGAAAAACACATGGGCTTCCAAATACTGGAATCAAATGACATTATTCGAGGTGCGCCTATAAATTATATCCTGGACTATATTAAAAACGCACGACTCTTTTAGGGTTCGACATTCTTGGGTATAACACACAAAAGAAAACATCTAAAACTTTGGATAGCCAAATAAAGACTCATGTTCGCGCAATTGCTCACAAACTACAACGCTTAGAGTGGTGCCTAGAAAGATTAATAAGCTAGAATAAAGATTTAAAGAAGGGTATCTGTGGCGGCACAATAACACGTTGGTAAGAGGAGAAAGATAAACTCCTCCCTAGTCTAGTGGTAAGGGCAGGCACCCGACAAGCGGTAAACGTGTGGTTCGATTCCCACCGGAGAAGCAACATTTTTCTTCGCTTACCTACAATGTCACGTCGTTTTTGCTGACGAATTCCGATTTTGTTTGGGCATCGAACTGTTGAGGTTACGGTGTGGAGGATGACTGAAAACGGCAATGGGTCACCTTTGGTCTTCGTTAGAGATACCATAAATCTACTGCAATACAGCGTAGATAATGTACAAGCTCATCTTCTTCCATATCTTCACATCTTGAAAAACCCTGTTTTTCAACACACCAGTTCACTTATTATTTATTAAGGTTACTCTAGACAGTTTTGAAGAAGATGAAGTCGTTCTTCTTCCTTGTCCTCCAAGATCTTTTGACCTATCCCCATTCAAATATATCTGGAATGTCCTTCATAGACAGGAAGGACTTCGACACCAAACACAGGTGGCATGGGATAAAATACCCTACGAAGACATTGATGAGATCATTAGGTCAATGCTACGACATGTCAGATAATGTACTTGTATTTCTTTCTTAAAACTGTACTGGACGAAATTTTAATTAATTCTTATTTTGACAACCCTGAACCCTCTTAGCCTGTATATAAAATTTGAGTACAAAATCATCATTCCCTCTTATTAGGGTTCTTTTACTTTTATCACTCCGAATATTTTTCCATATTCATGACCTCGACACACTTTTTCATTAAAATATAGGAGTATTTGTTTTAAGTATGACCCGTTTATTACTTACCTAGTACGTTGAAAACTGATCTTATTTTAAGTAAACAAAAAGTTAGTCTAAAGACGAATTACAGACTGGTGGTGGTGTCTCAAATAAACGTTTTAATGTTACGAAATTATTCTATTTTGTAACATTGGTGAAGTTGGAAAAACTAAGAATGATAGTAATCGAGTCCATCGGACGAATGGGCACTTTTATATTTTCTCGACGTTTCATGACCCCTACAACACGAAAAAAGTCTCCCGTTTCCGTCTGTCTGTCTGGAGTCTGCAGCGGGGCGCACAGAAACAGCGATACCAGAGCGCCTCCTCGTGAATGCCTATGACTCCCAATCTGGGACACACGACGCGCCAAGTACTGAAACACTTGCATCAACAAACTCCAACAATGCGGCCTTCTTCCATCCCCGCAAACAAGGCAGCTGGGCAAATTCCGAGTCCACGGTAGCGTTAATCTGGCATTACGGTTAAACCTTCACGCAAAGTCGGCCCGACATACCGTCTGCGACCCCACGCATTTATTTTGGTTTGACTTAAAATTTCCTGAATTTAGCGATATCAAAGGGAAACACATAATTTATGTCAACAATTCAAACAAAGAAGACACATGATGTTAAATTATGCCACACTTTATCAACCATTCAAACAAAGAATTTACATGATGTTAAATTATGCCATGATCCAAATGGATGGTTACTTAAAACAATTAACTTTGAGACTTTATATCGTGAACGGTCCCTAGCTTATCCCAAACAAAACACATGATAAATAAACACAAAATGCGTCCCTCGTCGCGAGAATTACATCTCGGTGTTGTAATTTCCCGCATCGCAAGAAATTCGTCTCGATGATGTCCAAATGATTGCTACCTAAGGGGAGAAAAATTAATCCCCCGTCCCTCAGTCATCGATATTATGAATTCTACCGCACTTTCCACGGTCCATTTCCCAGAGTGAGACAACGTTAGGTTGATTTAACTACCGTAAATGAACTATTAGCAATCTTGTGTGAGGAATTAAGAAGTGTTATAATGTAACACTAAAGTATAAGCATCCAGAAACCTTATTTATAACTTGATAAACAAAGAATTAGCTGACTTCATGAGCTTCAGATTCGTATTACTTAGTGCTGAAGGACATTTTATCCCGTTAGTTAAATGCTTAGCGTACGGCACAGGGGGTGCGGGAGTGTTATTTATGCCGCTTCTTTTTACTTTACAACGGTTATTTCAAAACGAAAATCGTAAAATCAAATTTTATAATTTTTTAAAGAGCTAGATTGGTCGGACTATACTACAGAAGCAAGGGAAGTTCTGTCGAATTAGCCTTCGACCAATGTTTTATTAAGTGTTGTTTTACTTTCTCAAACTGACTTACAACAAAACTGTACAAGCTTCGAAAATAAACCTATCATTTTTGAAAATACAAAAGCTATCCCGCCTCAAAGTTTTTCGCTCACTTTTGCTTATTTTTCTGTTCCAACTTTTCAATTATTAACGTTACGACGAAAACATAGTAACAAAAGTTGTTGATAATTCTGTTATTTAAAAAAATATATCTTTGCTCCTGTGACAATCCAAACATCCCGCCAAAATTCAACATGTGAATCAAATTTTTAAGCCCGCGAAAAATTTAAAATTTGGCAGTTAGGCCTTTAACTCTGACCATCAGCAAAATGGAACTCTAAGTTGTGTTTTTTTTATGGTGGAATGCGTTCAAATGTAAATTGGGGAACTCCAAGGGTAGAAAAGCACCCCTAAATCAAACACTAAATATGAAAGACAAAAATCGTTTATTTCTCCATCCTGACGGAAACAAAAAGAAAAAGCTGGGACTAAATGCACGTTAAGTCTCACCACGAGGTTGCGCTCAACAAGCAAACAACAAGTACCACAAAAACAGGAAACGGCAAGTGAGGGGCTTTCCCTGCATTATCAACGTGTTATCAACCCTCTAACCAACTACCAACCTAGAAAGTGACATTTACTGGTTCTCTAGACGGTCTACCACCCTAAACAAACATCTCTGCTCATGGTTGCCTATATTTAATTATTTTCTGTCATTTTTCGAATGCGGTGGGGTTGTTTTTTTCCTAGTGCGAAATTTTCATTCAACACACCCCCACCTTACAAAACCCCTCAAAAACTAGCTGCTTTATGGCCGTTAATTTGTAAAATTCGAAAATTTAAGAAAAACTGCAGCGACTTTTCATATAAGATGCGTTAGTTTCGCGTTTTGAATACTGCCAACTTAAAATGGAACGCACAGTACTTTGTTTATACCAAAACAAAATACGCGTTGCCTATCACAAAAATTTCTGGTCCTTTGTGAATTAATTTTATACAATTCTAATATTCTGCTATTGCTACTAATTCTTAGATCAAGATCAGTTCTGCTTCTTAATCTAAATCCATGCAAATAAAAACCGCCCGCTGATAAAACTTCCACTTGAAAATAAAATCAAAATTACGTCAGATATCAAAATACAAACAAATCCTTATAACAAATTAGATAGATGATTGATTTAAAAAAGACCACAGTAGATTCAGTTTAATAGTAATATTCTTCCTCATCAATATCTCCATAATACAACTCATTATTAATAACACAAGTTTCAACCCCCTTTTTATTGCGAGCTTTAAACCTTGCATATCTTTCCCCATATCTCTGCACATCAGAATCATCTATGTCTTCTTCAAATCCAGCTGATTCACTATCAACGCTATAAATAAAACCTTCCTCTCCATCATCACTGGAAAGATCACTTATGTCACAGCGCTTCATTGCTTGCAACATATCATCTTCAGTGATACTTTCCATATCAGACTCATCTGGATAGTCATTTCTCCAATTACTTTCTGCATTTGAATCTTCACTGTCATCATCACTGTCTGCTCCATTTACGCCATTATCTCTCATTGACCCATACATGAATTGGTCATTATACGGATACATACTAAAATTATTCAAAATACAATTCACAATACACAAATATATAACAGTTATCTTACTTTACATATTCTTCAAAATACGCGTCGCCTAAATCATCCGAAGTTGTATAATATAAATCATAAACATATTTGGCACTGCTATCTGAACTGCTTGGCTGACTTTCATCTTCTATAGTTTCTGTTTCTAAATCATATATTGTATATTCAGACTTGTGGTCTTCTGCTGGTTCCGTAACATCAGAAGTTTGTGAACGTAAACAATTTACAACTTTATAGCGGCTCTTTTTTGAGTTTTGTTGTCTTTGGTTTCTTAACTTTGCACTTAAGTCTGTATTATGTTTCTTGAATTGTTCCTCTAGTTCTGTTTTTGTTGGTTTTTTCAAGTGAGCATAGATATCATCCTGCAACAACAATGCATCACCGAAAAGTAAGGTTAAATCGAATTTTTACCTGATTGTTAAAAGTTCCTGCAAATTTGAGAATCGTGGATAATTCACCGTTTTCATTTTCCTCTTTTTCATCGGTTTTCCTTCGTTTGCAGTTTAAGATTAAAGTATCTGATGGTTGATCTTCTAAGCGCCTTTTTAAACGGATTACGGCAGCCATCTTCACGTTTTCTAATCAGTGTGATAAATACATTGGCAACATTGAATACTATTTTGTCATTTGACAATATTTGTCAATGTTGCCAGTGGTATAAGATAAAATATTGACAATTTTAATTTATTTTTATTACATTTTAAGAATTTTAAAATTTCAAAGAATTAAAAATTCGACTGTTTTAAAATCAAGCATATTCTCGTCATTTATTCGGATGCATAATTTAACTTTCTACAATGATTTTCCAGATTGAGGTTAGCAGCCCTGCGTATTAGTCATCTGCAGAAATATTTTGCGTCATTCATTTGTGATTACTTGTTTATAATTGATACAATCAGTTTAATATTTTGTGCCGTAAAGCAACAAATAACTCTTCACTTTTAATACGACAACATGGGGAACGAAATGTCGTCTTCGGCTATGGACAGTATCCTTTTTTATAGTTTGTAGGTTATATTTGGTACAAGGTTATTAACTGAACTATGAAGATTCAGGTTTTTCCGTACAAAAATTTACCCTGAAAAGTGCCACATGTAATTCCTTAACGTTGTAAGAACATCTTTTCAATTTAAAGTTTGCCGTTAAAGAGCTAGAAAGGAGTTCAAAACGATGTGAAAAAGAAGAAAGACAAGAGAAAGCAAAAACCAAACAGGCTATTCAAAAGGGCAACATGGAGGTAGCAAGAATTCATGCCGAGAATGCTATAAGGCAAAAGAACCAGTCACTAAATTACTTAAAAATGTCAGCCAGAGTTGACGCTGTGGCCAGTAAAATTCAATCAGCTATAATGACGAGGAAAGTTACAAATAACATGGCAGGTACTAATTTTTGTAGAGTAGTGTTGACACAACAGTCTATTAATGTTATTTAATTAGGTGTTGTCAAAGCGATGGATGCAGCAATGAAAAGCATGAATCTTGAAAAAATTTCCAATGTGATGGATAAATTTGAACAACAGTTTGAAGACCTGGGTGTTCAAACTGATGTACTTGAGAATACTATGTCACAAACGACAACAACACTTATTCCTCAGAATGAAGTTGACTCTCTGTTACACGAAGTGGCTGATGAGGCTGGGTAAGCACACTATTAACTATTTGCATCAGTTGAGGATTCTATTTTTTGCGAAATTGTAGTCTAGAGCTCAATATGGAACTCCCATCTGGAGTGGAAGGCAGCACTATTGGCACACCAAGTGAAGTATCTCAGGAGCAAGATGAACTCACTCAACGACTCGCCAGGTTGAGACAGGCCGAGTAAAGTGTACATAATTTGTGATAACATAATTTTTATTCCCAATCACATATAAATATAAAGTGCTTTATAAGGATGTCCAAGTTTAGGTTAGTGCAAAAACTGTATGCTTAAATGTATTATAATAAATGTATATTAATTTTGTGTAACACATTTGGTGTGGACTTTTAATTTACAATTTATAAATTTTTTTATTGACTCGTAATAAAATGTTACAAAAAAAATTTGGACATTTTGATTGTAACCTAAGAACTAAATGTGAGGTTAGTAGTTTATAACCTACAATTAATGACACGATTAGGTTATAAATTTAAAATGATCCCGCTCTTGAAACAAAACAATCGGTCTGCCAATGAAAAAAAGAGAATTCGGTCGTCATAGAAACATGTAAACAACAGAAAAGCCAATGGCGTGAGTCTCAGCGGTCACGTGTAACGTTCTATGTATCACAATTGGTTGATCAATATAAATTTGAAATTCCCGCGAAACGGCAACTTGCTGCTGGACCGCTACAATAAACGTGGCAACACCGCTTATGGGTCTACAAAGACTATTCGTTTTTCTTGAAATTTTACTAAAATGAGGTCGATTTATAATTTTTTAATGTTCATTTAATCAAAATTTATCAGTCAAAAACGACAGCGGCAGTCTGGACATGACTTTCTATCACAAATCGGTTAATTAGAGGCGCTGTGGTAGTTCTTCCAGTGACACGCCATTTTATACGCAGATCTGGAAGTTTGCACGGAATTTCGTGAAAAAAGTGATTATTCAGAAGCAAATATTGTGAAAAATTGGTGTAATGATAACCGCAAGTGTTGATTTTAGTTGATCGAGCTATTTTCGTTGAGGTAAGTGTAAATTTTTCATCTCCAACAATGTGTTTTAGCATGTTGAACCCCATTGTATAATAACGTTTTGCGACACATTTGTTGAGCATTTTCTCAGTTCTTGCTCTTAAAAATTAGTAACGTAGTAATTCAGAGTCACAACAGCCATATTGATGAAAATTTTAACGCCAACTTATAGATTTTATTCGACAACCATGTTCTGATACTTACTGTTAAGTGAAAAGAATGGCCCAGTATTATCGTGTGTTAAGCCAAGATGAAAAAAGCAACGAAGAAGTAGCGCAATTTTACCCAAACCTTGACGAGAATCAAACGGTTCAGTATGTAATTGCGTCTGATGGCACTCAACAGCAATTCCAAGCACAACCTGTAGTGGTTTCTTCGGACCAATTAATGGTGGTTGAAGGGCAGGGCCAGCAGGTGATCATTGACCAGTCGCAAGTTGCATACCCACCCTCCCAGTATGTAATTCAGGATAGTTCGGGAATTGAGTTCCAAAACAATCGACAACAGCAAGTCTATTATATGACTAATACTCAACAGAACCAGTCTGTCATTGTTGAGCAGCAAATGACACAACAACCTGTGGTCCTGAACCATCAAATGATGCAGAGCCACATGTCTAAAAGTAACGCGAATTCTCCAATACATCAAAATTGTCCTAATACTATTAGTGCACAAGTGATACCAGAAAAAAGTGTTGCTACGATGCAGCAAGTCAGAAATCAGTTGAAAACGCAAGCTGTGCGCCAGGGGAACGTTATAAACGCGAGGGGGATGGTTATGAATGCACAGGTTCGGTTTTTAAGTTGTACTAAATTGCATAATTTGGTTTTTTGGTGTTTTAGAAGGTGGCAACTCAGGGAATGTCCAAGGAAATTATTCAAAACTTTGCAAGAAATGCTTCAAGTGATAAGGAAGTATGTTGTTGTACTATTAATTATTAGACAATTACTTATTTGTTTTTGTAGAGTGATAGAGAAGAAGATGCAGTTGCTTTGTCTGATGGCAGACTTATCAGTTATAGTCAGTATAGGAAAATTATAACCTCACAAAAGCAAAATCAAACTGTACAGGAAAGGTATGATGCCATTTAATATACTTAAAAACATAATAGAAAATTAATCAGGTAGTGTTCTTGCATTTCAAAATTGTTTCAAAGTATATTTGTTGTCCCTGATTATTGACACTGTGATATTAATTTTCAATTAAATAAATCATCATATGACAAAAATTTTGTAACACTAGTAAGATATTATTAAAATACAGTTATTTGGCAAAAAAGAAACACTTTAATACCTAAAACTTATTATTTTGGTTTTTATTGAGATTTATTCGTTTGTACATTATTTTTTCGCCAAAAATTATAACAACCCCTGGTTGCATTAATTCCTTTAATTTTGTGTTACATGTTTCAATTTTTCAAAGAATGTCTACATAGATTTTCACACTTTTGACCTTGTTTTCTTATTTGACTGCAACATAGCGCTCAGACATATATACAGAACCTTTAAATTTTACTAGACAAATTATACAAAAACAAGTCTTAAAAACTCTAAATTGTATGGGCTGTCATATGGTTTGTTGCACTTTACAGAAATCTGTAGAACCCTGAAAAGTAGATGTTTTATCTAAATGTTTTAAGATTTTGACTGGACTGGATACATGAAAATTTATTTTACTCTTAAAGTTAAAAATTATTCAGCTGTTGAAATATTGCTTTCAAAATATAAATAAAAAAGGGCTTAAAACACTATGCTTCCTAGGTATGGAGTCTTGAGCCTTTTTTCCAATTTAATTATTTCTAGTAACACTAAATACAATGGGATTTACTTACTTACCTATTTGCATGTAAATGTATAATCCACTTTTTTAATTGTTAATTCTATAAATGAAGTCATATGTTTCAAGTTTCGTTTTCAATTATATTTATTTTACCGCACATTATTTTCTTTTTTATGAAAATATACAACATCTTGTTGTAACTCACTATTTATTCTGAAAAACTATCATTATTAATTGATGTAATTAAAGTTTTATGCGCTCTTCTCTTTAAAAAGTGGTAGAAAATTTGGAACCTGTACCCAATCTTTTGAACAACTGAATTATTAAATTTGAAATTATCTTCTTATTTAAAATTGATTATTATTATTTTATAAATTGCACAAATATTCAAATTTTGTAATTAAAAATTACAGGTTCCTATATTTCTACGATAAATTGTTTACTTATTCTGAAACTTTTTTAATAATGTGGACGTCTACGTGTACTCATTTTTTATGCTATTAGTATATTTGCAAATCAGTGTGTAAAGATAATGCTATCAATATTTATTTATATACAAATTTATGTAGTATGACATATGAATTGCCAACATACAATTTGTAATACTTTTTTTGCACTAATCACTAAAATATTTAAAAAAAGTCTTATTGATTTTCCATGGGGTGGAGTATTACATTTAAAAAATGGTTTGTAGTAAATAAATTTACACAGAAAACGAACAGTCGTATTTTTTGTCACTCTTATTGCATAACAAGTACGTTATGTATTTGCAACTTTTGTTTGGATAATGAAATAAATGATCTGTACTATTTAAATACAAATTTCGCGCCGTTAGATATGTAGTGACATTTATGATGTAAACAACGTCTTTACAGCTGTTCGCAAGATAAAGGTTAGAAATGTGTAAAAATGATGAAACATTGTAAAATTACTTCACAAAATAGATGTATATTGTACTGTTTGGTGATAAAATTAAATAAATTTTTTATGGATAAATAAAGTTGAAATTAAAGAAAACTGTTTTTGGTAATCTAACCTATATCAAGACCTTGACAAACGGTATACGTTTTTGAGTCAGTATAAAATAGTAGCTAGTATTGTTAAAATTATTAGTTTTTTGTTTGATGTGTGGTGTGCCAGTAAAGTTCAAACCAATGCTTGAGTTCCCATTACAAATTACAGTTCTTTGTTTAATACCATAAAGTGATAAAATAAAATATCCAACTGTGGCAAATGATGTCGTCTTCGATGTACAAGTACTGTTTTAATTTTATGCATGCATTGTATATCGTTTCGTTTTACTTTGTCCACCCTACGTTTTCATGTCAGTCAAAAATAACATTTTAAAGCGGAATTGTCTGGAATATCAGCTATTCCCATTCTAAGAATACATCAATATAACTTAATTATTCATTACAAGTCGTCGCAGTTTTCATATTATGAATTACTTCCTAAACCTTATAATTTATATTGATTAACCAATCTATTATTCACCTTAAATTGCATGCACTTTTTCACTCCCACGTTATTTCTGATCTCTGATAATTAAAATTTAATTCGTGGCCAATGTCGTTGACATTAACCTAACACGGTTTCTACACTTTCAGGATTGCGTCACCAACCATCGCAAATTTACCCCAAAGAAAGCCCAGAAACACCCCAACAAGCAGACTTCGCAATGCGAAACCGAGACAGGCTGCGCGCGGAAATAATCGCAACTTCATTCAGAATTCTTCAATTGACGAAGCGCAATATGAAGAACATAAACAGCCCTTGAAGCAGATGCAACAGCAGTTCCAAAATCAGATGGCTCAGAGACAGCAAATTAACAGAGCACATCCGCAACAACCCCTGCAAGAATCTCAAAGCCAGTATCTTATTCAGCCCAGAGCACGGGACAGTAAGCCCCAGGTGCAACGGCCGTTGCCTCAGTTCTTGCATTCTACTCAAATACAAAATATAATCGGTAAGATGTTTATTTTTTGCCGCCGTGTAGTTGGTTGTAGTTGTGGTAGTTTTTATGCAAAGAATTTATATAAATTATCGTGTCTTGATAAAGAAAAGCCAAATAAAAATTCTTCGCGAATTGTGCAATATCAGTTTATTTTGAATTAAAATGTGTGTTGGTGTTATTGAATTTTTTAATCTGATAAGCTGAAACGTAAGTTGAAATGTCATGTTTTGCGGTGGTATCCATTAAAGTAGTTTTATAAAAACCCACTTTTGTTTATCTTTAGCAATTAAATTTCTAGCAGTGAAAAACAAATGACATTTTTATGTCATATTATAAGCTACTTTGAAAATAAAACATTTTTGCTGAGGTAATTTTAAGTGTTGTAATTTTTAATTTTTTCGAATTTGACAAATTCGTTTTTTCCGGCATAGTTATTAAAAGTATGACAAGAAATTTTGTAGATTTTTGGCATTAATCGCAGTCATTTTTAAACCCGTGCTTGTTTGCTTGTTTGTTAATCTAATATTTTTATGCAAATTTTTGATTCTTCACAAAGTGTTCCTAAGCTTGCTTTTGAAGAAGTTTGATTAGAAGTTTCTCACGTATTACTAGGTTAGGGAAATTGAAGTGAGAAGGCTGGCTACAGCTAACTATAACATAAAAATATCAAAACAATAATTAAGGTGAGTGACGTTTTTAATTGCTTTTAATTTTTGTTGGCGAACTTGCTTGAAATTTATAGTGTGACTCGCTCCATTGTTTGTAGTTTAACAATGTATCTGTGTAGCGCTTGTCATTAAAAAAAAAAAAAAAAATACAGAATTAAATTTTAGAATTTATCTAAGAAATTAGACTTGTTTGTTTGTGCTACAGAGATTGGGGAAATTCTTCTACTACCTTTCAAATAATTTTTCTTCTTACACGAACTTTAAGTTTTGACCAAGTTTAATAAGGTTAGAAGTAAAATGATAATTGAGGTTGCTAGTCAATTTCGAAAGTGTTCCCAAATTTTGTAATTTTTCAAAAAACTGGATATGATATACTATATTTCGGGAGTGAGGGAAGTTCGGCCTAAATGATCGCAGACCATTTTTCCAATATAAAAATTTCTCGTCAACGAAATCTGTATCAGAAAAAAAGCTAACAGTTTATAAACTAAAATTTTTGCAAGAATCTAGTACTTTTTAGGGTGTTTGTAGTCAGCATGTTTGTTGCCAACAGTACTAGTTGTCAACATCCATCCATTCAACAACATTGTAAATTGTTCTGCATCTTCATGGAGTTTCGAACGATTTATTTTCTAATCTCCACTTTTATAACCAAATAGTACAAAAGTAAAACATGCAAATGATACGAAGTAAAAATGAAAACGAAATTTTATAGTAGGAAGTGTTGCCAACCGTGTAATCATGTGCCGTACCAGTAATGGCTAGAAAAGAGATGCGAGTGCAAGAGTATGTGCCCTTCGTAAATACCGATTGACTATTTATGATTGAAGGAAGTTTTTGGGGTGGCAATTCTGAATTATAACAGTTTTGGCATGTCAGTTCACAGTTGTCAATTTGACATGAGTGCGCCCAAGAAACCAATAAAGATGGCAGCTACTAATTGGTGCCCAAAATTTCACTTTTACGTCAGGTACGCCATCGTAAGATTTTAAATACGTTACCAACTTTACAAAAAAAAAAACACAAACATTAATAGTCACTTGGTACTAAAAAAATGGCGCGTGACTTGACAACCAAATGTTAACATGTTACCAACACAAAGCAGCAAAAAATAAAAAGCGTACTTTACGAATTATGTAAATAATTATTTTTAAAAAATAGATAACAGCCTTATGGAAATTTATACCACGTAACAAATTATACAACCAATGGTCCGGGTTGCACATGTATCTAATCTTACAACATATTTGATAATTTTAATGAGTTACTATTGGCAGCACTACTTTGACCACATGTTACCACCTGTTCCCATGCGATTATTGGATGGATTGGTTAGTTGACTATCAATGACGAAATATCACCGGAAACCATATTTACACATTATAATGAACGAAGACAGAGAATCGGCGGTCTTCTTTTTCATACAACATTGACATTTACACTAGGGAAATTTTTGAAGGTGTGTTGCATGTGTTCAGTTCGGGGAGAGTTATGTTGGTAACACGGTTCAAGATCTTGGAACCCTTTTGGCAACTTGAAAGTTCCTACAAAACACAGAATCTTACTTTGGAAAAATAAACAAAAATAACGTAACAATTCATGGATAATTGGGAAATTTAAATCACGTGACATTGATAACGAAAAATAGATGGTCTCCTTTTTGACGTTTACAAAACGGAAAATTTTGAAGATTAGTTGCAAAATGAACAAATGCAACCCGTCTCTACTAAATATTTATTACAATCGATCGGATCGCATGTATTCCTTGAAGCCAACCTTTAAAAATTTCAATGTTGCATGCAAAAGGAGATCGCCTGTTTGTAACGTGTAAATATGGTTTCTCATAATATTTGTAAGGTAACTGACGTTACACATTACTGTTTTAGTTGGTATCAAGAAGTTTTGCTTGAAATTTGTAAAAAAATTTGCTTAAAATTTATAAACCTGGCACCCCACCTTACTTCAGGTCGTCAAAATTGACATGGTTCACAGTGACATTTAATTTACAGCAAAATGTGTTGTTGATTATTTATTATTAAAATGCCAGAATTTAACTTTTTTGAACGCTTAAAAGTGACAGCGTCAAGCAATTTAACCAGGTTGATTCTATTGTCAACATAGACAATAATTATTAAATCACTCTGTAGTTAGTAGTGTCATTGTAAGCTGTCACCATCACTTAGTTTTTCAATTTTCTACTTATTCTTGATATAAAACACAAAACACTGACTTTAAAAACTTCCCCTCGTTTTATAAGACTTCTGAAATGTTGCAACAGTGATGACAAGCGGTAACATGCAGTCGAAGTAGTGCTATCAACAGTACCTCATTCAAATTACCAAATGGGTTGCAACATCTTGAATCGCGTTACCAACCTAACATTATAGTAGTTGAACTCAACAGCCATAGTCCACTCCCACTCGGGTTGTATGTGTCCAGTTTGCAACCGCTCTTAAAAAATTTCCCTTGTGTAAATATTAATGTTGCATGAAAAAGTAGACTTCCGATGTTATCTTTGTTCATTGTAACGTGTAAATATGAAGTCGGGTAATATTTGTGACGTAATTGATATAATACAGAATTTCTATAAATGGTTACAAGGTCGAAGTAGGTCATGAAAACGTGCCGCCTCTCAGTTTTAGACGTTACTAAATGCCCAAGGACGCACGACAAATACCACACGCATCTGTATAACTGGTTGCCTAAATACTTCATATCTCATTAAAAAATAAAACAAATTCATTACAATAAAAAAAAACAAATTTATTGCGGTTAAACATTACAGTGAATGTTGAAAATGTTCTGCAATTCTTTCGTCAATACCCATTCTTCTATTTCATGTGGCAACAGGAACACCTGACTGCTGAGAAAATCTTGTCAAAAATGTTTGCGGATTCTGCTCAAGTCGTCTCAAATCATCAACAACTTCCTCAGATGCTGAAAGCCTTCCAGGAGATTTCCCTTAGTTGACACTGCCACTTCGAACAAATCTGTTGATTACATCTTTAATGTGAGCCTCTAACGGTTTTCCTTAAATTATTAAATCACGGTATTTGGCCAGATATTCTTGCTTACACGCGGTTACAGAATACACACACTCTTTGTTTACGAATGTCCCATTGCGATAACAATGAAAATATCTTGTTCAACAGAATAAACCATTTTCGCGGCAAAAACAAAATTTTCGTGCGCAAGCACCAAGAGTTTTGAAAACGACTGTTTTGTTGTTTTGAGCTTGGATCAACGAGAATTACTCTAATTCACACTTGAAAAACGTTAAAACAATAAAAACGATGACTTTAAATGACAGGTTACAAATGACATTAATGGCAAGTGAGAACTGTCATAGTGAGACATAATTTCAACGAAGCGGGATTTTTGAAATCCATGGCTAACTACGCCCTTAGAATCATTTATAAAAGCCCTGTAGTTAGTAGTGTAAGCTGCCAGGGGAAAGCACAGTCAAAAATAATAAACACAAAACACTCCGTCACACGTCACGTCGGGCCCTACTATGTATAGGAGAATCAGCGAGACAAGACAAGACGTATACGTCATAAGTTTTGAAATGACGTATTATACTGCCAACATGAAAACGAAAATTTGTTAACAGATCACGCTCGGTCACGCTTAGTCCGCACAATCTGCACATCTGTAATGTTGGTCAGCGTGCGCTTCAACTTGCTTTGACAGGTGGATTGATTTGTACGGCTTTTTAGCGATTCAGGCGTGTGAGATCTGACAATCCAATGCAGTGCGTTTTCTTGGACGAAACGTGGATTTTCCATGGTGGTACTACTACCAAAATCTTGGCATGATGACAGGATGAAAAGTGTCAAATCGATAAAACCGCGTCGGTGTTCACCAAAGTGACGTCATAGACGAACAATGATGTCTACGTCTTGTGTCGCTGATTCTCCTATAGTCAAAGTAGTGTTACCAACAGTACGTCGTTCAAGTTACCAAGTAGATTGCAACCAACTGGACACATGCAATCCATATACCGCGTGATCAGAAATGATTGAGTCTGTTGGCAATCCTGGATTTAAAATGTAAGCAAAACATAACCTAAATTTATCGCTTGTCGCGATTGACATATCTGTCACAAAACATAGATTTGCTTCCACTATACCAAACATAAATGCAAGAAAAGTTCATATTTTTACGTAAAATATCCAAATATTACTTCTATATTGCTTACTTTTTAGAAGTCCCATACAAATGTTGTTTACGACCAAAGATAAACGAAAGATACTACTTTCTGTCTCTCTCACAACAATTGTATACAAAATAACCGCCACAGTAAAACCAACTCACAAGCACTTATAAAAACGACGAAAAATAAGCTACAGTTGGTAATATAGACGTTTCGATTAAAAAGAGATGTCAATTGACGCCCGCGTAATTTAAATCAACCAACAGTTACAAGGAGTACGAATACATGCGCACTACACTACACTGTTATCACGAGACGCAACTAACCTCAAATTAGTGTATAGTGCGACACAAATTCTCTGAAAGCTAGTCAAGTCAAGAAAATTGTAAAAAAATTGACACTGATAAGTCACACAACTCTTATTAGACCGATAATCTCCGAAACTATTAGAGTGATTGTTGTCAAGTTTTATATGTATTTGGGGAATATTAGGTAGATGGTAAAACATTGGCTAAACTTTTTCTGAACTTCCCCACTAACAATTTGATGACGTCCCCCAATATTTTACATGGTAAAGACTATTTAATTTTTTTTAAATAACGCTGTCATACAACAGTTGCTTACAATGAGAAAATGATTAATTTTTTTTTACTGGACTTTATAACTTCATAAGAAATATTTTTTGGAGTTAAAAATAATTAAAACTTTGGACTACAATTACACAAAAACGTGATTCAATTACAACAACACTTACTGTATACCATTTTGAGAAGTTGTTAACGTCATTTTAAATGTTTATATTTTTTCATTGTTCGTGTTCAAATTCGACGATAATTTTTTTGTTAATCTATGTTTCCAAGGAGTATGTACATTTGAACCACACCTGGTTAAGCGTGTATTCTGCGATATATCGTTTTACATAAGTTGGAATTCAATCAAATTTGAATTGGTAAATTTAGCTTATCAGGGAAATTATAAATTTAATTTTGATTGCGTCGTTTGTGCGTCCATATTTCAAAATAACTGCAGAACTACATTGTTTAAAGTATAAATTCTTTGTATTCTCTCGACATGCATAAAACATAAAAAACGAGTACTTTATTTTGGGTATTACTTTACCAGACAGCACACCCAAAGGCGAGGAATACACAGATTCCATACGTATGTTGGTACTACTTGACAATGGAGAGCAAAGACTTATCACCTTCACCCTACCTAAAGAAGCATGCACAATTCAAGAAATTCTCGAACAGGTTGGAGTTCCTTTCACAAAAGATACCCCAATTCAAGTAAACGAAGCCAATTCGTATGGTCTTAACTACATCGTTGCCGTTGGAAATGTTCCCGGATTTTCAATAGATGCATCACCGGTAAGTTTTCCAAATGAATCCTCTTCAAATTTCCACTGTTCTATGTACTTAGCAACAGGAGGAAGCCATTCTTGAGAATGAATTCATACAGCAACAACAGGCTGTACCACAAATGGAACAACAGCAAGACGCGGTACCACAGGAATCGCCCAAGGCAGCAATAACTCCAGTAGCGCCGTCTTCGCCAGAACCCCAAAAAGATTTACCCCCAAAAATAATCGAAGGGCAGTTGGCTGTTTGCGCCATCTGTGGATACGTTTCAGAAGATTTTAACAGATGCATGAGGTGTAAAAGGAAATTGCCGGAAAATGTAAAGGCTATTCCAGCCAGTAGTAATAACGGGAAGAAGATGGATCTTAGGAGTGCGATGGCGGAAAAAAGATTAGGAATGCAAAAGACTAACGGTAGTGCTTCGTGGTTACTTTATATGAAATTCAACTATAATAATTACGATTTTGTTGTGCAATAGTTTCCGCGATAATTACGTCGTGATTTTTTTTTTTATTGTTTCGTTCCTTTGAAGTATTTTTAAATTCTCTTTTTTTATTATTAGGTGTCCCGAGAATGAATTTGTTGCCCAAAAAACGTCCCTCGAAGCCATCAAAGTTGATGGAATGTGAAACGGTGGTTGTTAGCTCTGATGAAGAGGACTCTGATCAGAAGACCCCCGTTAAAAATGTAATAAATAATTATGAAACTTAAGTTTTGTTTACATTTTATTTCGTTAGGTGAGTGAGCAACTGTTGGAAAAATTGGGAGCTTCTGTAACCATAAGCCCGATTTCTAAGGAGCCTTCTATTGTGGATATCCAAAAAACTAGTATAGCAGCAACTTTAAAAGGTGAGACTTTGATTAGTGTTGTTCAAAAGTCATAGTAAACCCAGTTTTAGGTGGAGAAAAAGTACCAGTAGAACAAATAAATAGTGTTCTAGTGTTGTGCCGAACTATAAGAATAGGTTCCTATCGATTTGTACCTCCTGAACCAGTAAGTAATTTTCGCGGGTGTCATATCAGTACTTCACCCACATTTTTTCAGATTAAAATTGATTCAAATGGGTTGGTGTTAAAAGTGCCACATCCAAAAAATGAAAACACAATAAAAATAATAAAAATAGACAATAGTGATATCGTAAAAGTATTGATAAGTTTCCAAAAATCTCTCCCCGTGTTATTCTATTACTTGTTACCATCCGTGGGTGCGATAGTTCGGGCTGCTCTAGATATGGCACAGGGTTCAGATTACTTCTTTGATCCCTTATCAGAGACGGAAGAATCCCACAGAAGAATAACTCTCTTGCCAGAAACGTTGTCAGAAGAGTGTAAACACATCCTACAAAAAATATACGCCAAAAACTCGGTATTGGATGAACTCACCTACAAGGAAGCAAACGACATTTTAATCAAAACTTGTCCAAAAGAATTATCAAAAACAGTCCTAAACTACAGGTACGTAAGAATGCTTCCAAAAACCGGTCAAAGTAAGTTGATGCATTTTTGTAGCAGTGTTACAGAAATCAAAGCAATTCTGATGTATCCAGCGGAAGGCAGAGGCAGAATTACTATAAACACAGAAGATTATATGTGTTTAGGTCAAGATCAGTTCCTTAACGATGTTATCATCGATTTTTATCTAAAATATTTATTGTTAAACCTACCAAAAGAGCAGCAAGATAAAGTGCACGTCTTTTCGACGTTCTTTTACAAGAGGTTAACCACCAAACCCATGAAAGCGTCACGGAAGTCGCAGCCCACTGAAATTGATCCTAATTTAACACCTGCACAAAAAAGGCACAGTCGTGTTAAAACATGGACGAAAAATGTAAACATATTTGAGAAGGATTTTATAATTGTGCCAATTAACGAAAATTGTCATTGGTTCCTAGCGATTATTTGCTTTCCGAATATGAACGGCAGCCAGACCATGGACGGTCAACCTATTAAAATCGAACCAAAACAATCTAAGAAAAGTAAGGAATAGACGAGAAAGTATGAGGTGTTAATATAACGCGATGTGTTTTGTTTCAGAAAAAGGTGGACTGGGGGCTGTAAAGGAGAAAAAGATTGAACCGTCTATCATGTGTGAGGATGCAGAGTTAAGTGATAAAGATGAAGCAGAAGGTGATGACAGTGAATTGGACTCTGATGATTCAGAAGAACCTCCAGCTACACTTCTAGTTGAAAACAATAGCAATAGGCCTGCTATTAAGCAGTAAGTTTTTAATTTTTTTTTTTTTTTGCTGCGTTTTCGAAAGTTTTTCATAGCTTAGAATTGCAATGAATTGTAACATTTTGAGACGCATGTATTTGACAGATGCTTTTTTTTTCATAAGTGAGACTTGCAGGTAAGTAGTTTTATTAATTGCGCAAAGTAAAGCTTAAAAACACAAAGCTATTCTTGGATTTTCATTTTACTTTTTACTGCTAGTAAGTCTATGAATTTCAAATTATAAAAAATACTAATTCAGTGGTATCAAATTATGTTGGTAATAACAGCCAAGCTTTGATTGTTAATAAAAACTGTAAGAATTACCGATAGGCAACTTACAGATATAGGTTAGGTTGATTTAATTCATTAATGTTTAGTTCGAAATTACAAATAATACTGTTTGCTCCCCACACAAGACCATAAGTTTTCCCCCCTAATATTTATGTAATAATTCTCTTCCTTTTCTCTGAAAAAACTAATTGTTTTGTAAATGTACTAAATGCGTAGCAACATTGCAACAATCACAACGTAAATATAACCCAGTGTTGCCAACAGTAAAAATAGTCACCCCAAAATTCAAACAACTTAGTATAGCAAAAACGAACGAAAGTGTCTCACTTTTCTATCAAATGACCAAATCGACTGGATTTCTTTAACTGTTCATAAAATTTGTGCACCAGATTTAGTAAGGTGGTAACATTGCAGTTGGTTCAGTAACCTAAATTAGTTTGCATGGTTGCCAATAGTATAAAAATATATAAATGAGTTCCAGTGTTGCCGAATAATCGCAAAAATGACTGCGCAGCAGGGTTACCAATTTTAGAAATTGTTATTGTTGGAAAAGAGCTTGAATTGTCTATTGTTTAAATTTTGACATCAAAAACCTGTAAAAACCACACGAAGGTCACTGTTTTGGTGTAATAAACTACGTTTTTCTTACACTTCAGGTAACGGTACAAAAATTTCAAAATATAATTTCTTTGTTCGTTAACCCTTGCGGCAACACAATACCTAAGTAGTTGTTAGTAGAATAGGACTGTTTGAGTTGGCAATAGAATTAACCAATTTTGACAAAATTTTCTTGCGCTGCTATTGACAAACCTGTTTCAAATATACCACTGACGCCCTCAAGAAAGTTTGGTTGTAACTTTTTAATAATCAATAATAAATTTTTACGTAAATTAAATGTCACTGTCCACCATGTCAGTTTTGACAACAGGGAGTAACATGGAGTGACAGGTCTACCAATCTCAAGCAAAATTCATTGATGCCAACTGAAGCAGTACTTAGACGTCATCTTTTAAATAAAAACAGTTCATGTCGATTCTTTTGTATTTCAAATTTTTTTGATTTTCCTGCTATTCATCTTGTAGTTGCGACTTTAAAGTTTATATATTCTAAAATGATATTGAGATTGGTAATTTATCTATTGGTTTTACTGTATTAGCCTTTTAGATTATTTTTGTCGTACTATACACGAAATCTAGGTATTTTGATGATGATATTTTTGAGGTTATTTACATTTAGGCAACTTTTTTTATTTCTATAAAAACCGCCCTTAAAACCCAAAAGTCAAATTAAATTTTGCTGTACGTCAAGGGTTGTCAGTAACTATCATTACATTCCTGCCACTGTAGATTTCTTAAATCTCTAGTAATTTTTCACCAGTGAGGACAACATGATGACATTTTGACAATTGACAACCTTAATAAACTAACTTTATAATGACAATTCAAATAATATTGCAAGGCAAAGTAAATGTGCATAAAATTAATAACATATAAAATGTCATGATTATTTTGACAGATGACAAATTAAATATGCCAAAAGTGGCAAGTCAGTAACATTTTTAAATTTCACAACTCCGCTGATATAAGCAACATTTATGAAAACACACAATTGCACAAATGACAATTTATAAAGTAATGAACCAACTCTAACCTAAATCAGTATTTATTTTTTATAAGTGGTAGATCGTCTTGAATAAATGTAGAGCGAAGATATTTTGTTAACAGTATCCTATAATTTGCAAGCTCTTTTTGCTAAATTAAAAAAAAAAACACCATTGGTTATATATAGTGACGGCAAAATTAAATTTGTGATGAACCTAATTTTCGAGTGTTTCTTTCTGTCAGTAATTGTTAACACTTAACTAAGGTGACGATTTTAATATTGATATACGTCATAAATTAAAAAATTCACTATCGCTAATGTTGGCAAGATTGTTTCACTGACAACATCAATGTACCGCCGATAGCCAAAAAAAAAACTGGGATATAACTAGATAATCTTGAAAACTAGAAATTTAAAACGTACAAGTTGAGTTTTTGCCAAGAAAATATCATTTTATGACAATTCACAATGCTAACATTTTCAGTAGTCAACCGTTTGCTTAGTATTGACGTTTTTGCAGATTTTGGCAACTTCTGCCATCAACGATTTTTTCGATGTAAAGCGGTACGCTTGAGGGATACGTATGTTTTAATTATTTGGAATCAGTGTTGCCAATCGTGTAATGTTATTTCTAGAGGACGTTTCGAAACGTTGGCAGTGTTGCCAATTGCAGGAACCAATAGAACCCTAATAATGGTGTAAAATTTATGACTTTTAGCAAAATTATTTTGTCTTTCGAAAATCCTCTAATTAATAACGCGACACAAATATGGTTTGTCTTAAAATTTCCAAGTATGACAAATCTAGTTTACTTTGCTAGTTAGTTAACTGAAAGTCAAGTGTACTTTATTTTTTAAATTTACAAAATAGATTATATATATTAACAAATTATTTGAAATATTATAATATATAACATTTACGCTGAGTACAAATACAATTATTTACTATAAATACGTCAATTAATACTTGTTGATTTTTTTTTAACAAATTATGCAATGTCAGTGTTGCCACTAGTAAAAATTTGTAGAGTACGTTCCGAAAATGACATGCAAATTTTGCCAATCTTGCAATCACCAGTGTTACCAACAATATCCAATTCTTCTTCAGATGTGACTCTTTCATACGATCAGTGTTGATAATACTGAAACAAAAAATATTGGTTGATTTCAAATTCATTCAAAGTTGCTAGCAAATGTTACTTTTACATTTTTATTCATTTCTTAACCGAATTGTCAAACGAGTAAAACAACTAATCGTTAAAATGGCATTGCTTCCAAGGTCTTTACATGGTATTTTTTAAATTCCTCCAAATAAAAATAAAATTCTTAATGATTCAACCAGTGTTATCTTGTGGAGTTTAATAAAATGCACATTTTTTTTAGACCCTGCGTGCTCATTTTTGATTCATTAGCTGGAGCCAGCCGAAGTCGTGTAGTGGCAACTCTCAGAGATTACCTAACTTGTGAATACAAAGCCAAACTAAATGTGGACAAAGTTTTCACAAAAGATGTAATAAAAGGAGCTTGCCCCAAAGTTCCACAACAAACCAATTTTACAGACTGTGGATTGTACCTCCTCCAATATGTAGAACAGTTTTTCAAAGTAAGTTTTTTGCAAAGTATAACATAGAGAACTTACGTTTTTTTTTTAGGACCCTATAAAGGATTATTATATACCTATTAGTCATCTGAAAACATGGTTTGAAGAAATCACAGTCACTAAAAAAAGGGAAGATATTTCTTTACTAATTCAATCATTAATGAAGGAAGCTGGAAAAGATTTAGATATACTACCAGAGGTCGTTTTCCCCACACAAAATGGTAGCTATTATTTTCGCATTGTAATTTACCATATATCAGTGTTTTTACAATTTACAGGCGAATTAACAGAACGGGCGCTAATGGAAAAAGAAGATAAATTTATTGATCCAGATGAAGATATAATGGAAGATGAGGATGAAGAATATGTACCTCCAACGAGAAAATCTAAAAGTGTTGACAGTTCCAGAGACAGTGGCGACACAACGCCAGAGAAACCTACAACTTCTCCCATTAAACCAAGTGATAGTGCTAAAAGTGAATTATTTAATGAACAGACTGTTGTTAGTACAACGCTTTTGAAACCGGATATTAGTGAATTACCAAAACAAAGCAACAGAGACACGTTATCATATCTTAAAGCCAAGCGGATTATTAGACATAAAAATAACGCGAACAGTGATGGCGGACCTGAATCAAAAAAATTAAAAAATTCAGACGCAAGTGGCACATAATTTTTTGTTACAATTTTGTTTTAAATATAGGTACTGCGAAATTTGTGATTAAATAAATTATTCAAAGTACCCTTAAAGTGTACGAATTAATCAATATCTGTATGTAACGTAATATTATGAGTATTTTATAGGATCATAATTTGACAGTTGTAGTTATTTTATTTTGAATGATTAAACGTTTAAACTAAGGTTGAGTAGTGTGTTTCTAAAAGGTCATTGAACTATCAATGTTGCCAATGAACTAATTAAAAATGACATCAGTGTTACCAATATTACCAAAAGTAAATGATGTCAATGTTGCCAATAGATTATGAAGAGATTTCAAGGTTACCAATCTAATTAAAAATAATAACCAGGGTTACAATTTATGCAGAAACAACCTTAAACCTTTGTCCGTCATGTTAAAATAAGGGTCAACGTAAGTGTTTCAAACAGAATGGAGTGCTAAATTTTAGTATCGAAGTTAAAATAAATTATATTTCTAGTGTACGCTTTGACAGTGTTGCCACTAACGGCGCACCAACATTCATATTCAATGTTGCCAAGCAAAGAATTAAAAAATTTATTCAAAACAGTGTCACCAATAGTCGATCTTGAAAAATTGACATTTTGAAAAATATGACAACGTGGCGTAGACTTTGAGTGACCTTGGTCGTTGACACCAATTTTTACCGAAGAAAACGAACCGTAAAAATAAAATACATGGGCATGTTACAACTGTGTAAAAAGTAATGATAAATATAGTCGTTGTGTTATTTATGTGATTGTAGTTCCGATTTTGTTTTAAGGTTATGTTTATGTACTGAAAACAACTGAGAGTAGACAGGTGAACATGAGTGTTTTGTAACAACGATCGATAAATAAAACGTTAATTAAAACTATTGAAAATCAACCAAATCTCCAATTAGCCGTTCACATAACTTCAATGTCTTGCTGTTGGGGGCAAAATTATAAAACGGAAATTTGTTGGTTTTTCACTTGTTTTTAGTCGTTTTTTCGAATCAGTTGAATTCATTTGAGACTATAATATAGAAGAAACTAATTAATCTAATAAAGGTAGTTGGATACTATAACGGTAAATAAAAATAAAGAAAAAATTTTGTATTAAGTAAGTAGCATCTAATCAACGCAAGCGCAAAGTACCTAGGTAAATTGCGAATAAATTCAGTAAATGCTGTTGCAGTCACGGAGGAGAGAATGCTTTTTCATAAGGATACATTTTAGATCCTGAGGACACCCTTGTCCATAAAAAATCAAAAATGGCGGACCTAGGTAACCAATCAGAGCTGTTCGTGGAGGAACTGGATGGTTGGATGAAAGACGCAATGAAGAATAACTATTAAGATTTCATAGAAATTATCACAGAATATTGTAGTGAGGCTGTTTGATAGGACACAGTGCTTATTTAGGGCACTGTATCAGTTGGCATGAGGAAAGAGTTCATGAATTCTAAAATTTGCCATTCTATTGAAACACCACTTTTTGATCGTAAATTTGGCATCGTTCGTATTAATGCATTTTCTAACTTAAAGCCCTTCATAATCAACCGAAAGCTGTTATCATTTGCTAAATTTTAAACAAAATCAACAGGTGGTGTTTCAATTGAAGTGGCAAAGACAAATTCGATATAATAGAATTAGGCAGTCTATATCGAAAGCATACAATTCTTATAGAATCCAATATAGTAGACGTAACACACAAGAAGCCAAAAAGCCTGTATGACCCTCGACTCAAGGTTCCTTTCCACACACAGAACACTGTTGTACCTAGATAGTGATTAAAAAACAACAGAATCTTGTTTTATATATATTTTCGCACGATTTTTAGAACCAATATTTTTGAAGCCTCTTTCGAAATTGAGACCTTCAAGAATGTTTTTCTATAAGATAAATTTATTTCATGTGTAAAGCTTTTTATGTGAGAAGTTATACGTTATAAACACAAAATTAGTAAGTAAACCTATAAAAAAATATTAAAACCTTCCCGTTTTCGAGTCCATGATGATTTTAATTTAACTGATAATAATTTTCAAGGTCTTTTCTCTCAAAACGGATCCATGTTTAGGAGTAGTATCTCGATAAACTGTAGATAATATAAAAACATAAATTAAGTAAAACGTCCACAATTTTAGATATATCGTTACTAAAATAAATTGACCATGAAAAAGTGAGTTTCCTGCCACGTGTTTTACGGGAATATTTCCATTATTGTAGTTAAATTGTATTAAAATTATATTATAAACAGTTAAAAAACTTAACATATGAAATGTGAATTTACAAACAATAAAACAAAAGTAACACGCACACATGTTGACGAATTCGCCAAAATTTCATAATATTTCAAATTAGAAAATCACTAATTAACTGGTCTTACACTAATTACACTCGTCGAAGGGGACAATAGCATCGAATATGATTCTTTTTGTTTAAACAATTGCAGTTTGGTGAAATTACAAACTAAATTAAACGCACCAGTTTTAAAACTTACAGCACGGTGTTAACCCAAACATCCCGCCAAAATGGGACATGTGAACGAAATTTTAAAACACAACAAACTCGCTGCAAAAGCCCTCTCTAACTTTTAAAAATCAAATCAAATCAACACAAGTTATTGAATGGAAACACACAAGTTATTGCAGTTGACTGATGAACTTGTGATAACCCAAACACCCCAACACAAAATTATTTATTCCTCCAGTGACAAAAAAAAAACCAAACAAAAGCTGCGTGCGAGAGTGACTCGTGACTTGCTCTCAGGCTGCCCAGTGGGGGCCGAATCGCAATCGGTTCTCAGCTCCAAAAAAAACTAACTTATTGAACTTTGGATGAAATTTAAATGAAATCAAATTAAACGTTCTGAATCAATACAAATATTTGAAAATTACAAATTTAATAAAAATAAAGCTAAATCTGAAGTAAAGTAACCGGATGCAAATACATAAGTTATAACACGTGTGGCAGCAAATTTAAAATTATGGCAGTCAACAGAAGAATACAATTTTAATAAACAAAATATGCAGCAGCAGCGGCACCAGAGCTGTAAGAGTGTGGCGATCGACTATGTTAATTTTATTCTGGAGCACAACAAACATACCCATAGGGGGCGTTGTAGTACGAGCGGAGTTTGGGGTTCCCGGTCGTGGCTGTTCTCGCCCACGGCGGTGATTCTATCTATCTATCGCAAGCACTGCCGCCCAGCACCTCAAGAGTGAAGTCGACAGCGTTACGTAATCTCGACCGCCCCTGAATTCTATTCTAATCTGCATCTTTTGTACAGAAGGCGTGATAAATACCGCCAGCTCGACTAGGAACCGCGCACTCCGCTTCCACCACGTGTTTCTGTGTAATTTAACCTCAATTCTATTTATATGTTCGATTCTTATAACTCTGATATTAACGACAACTGAATAAGTGTTAAAGTTCCAAAAAGAGCAATAAACAACATTTAAATTCGCCATAAAATCTTGTGAAATTTTAAGCAACAAATATTCTTATCTGAGATTAAAATTGGACATCAGATAATTTATATGATACAAACATGAATCAACAAAATAAAAAAATTAGCAAAGATTTATAAAAACAAAACCAACAAAGACACTTTCACCCACTTTCACCTCTCTACCAAGACGTAATCTTCTACCAGCCCTCTAAATAAAATCCCCAGCAGGACTACCCACTACCCGAAAGCGCTAACGTGCACATGGTTGCCTATGTTTAACGATTTTTTTGATTAATTTTTTTTTCAAATTCAAATTATTCAAATGTGTCACCACAAACTTCAACTCGTTGATTTAAAAAAAGTCTGACACGTGTCAATAAGTTGTTCTGACAATTAATAAATTACTGAAACTGCAAAGCAAATAAATTTTCGTTACTCCACACTGTAGCAAGATCTTTAAACAACAAAGAAGGTACACGTGTTAAATTATTACATAAACGAAGCATATATGAAATAAACACAACAAGCATAAATTAAATCCGGTCAAAGCTTTCCCGTTTTCGAGTACTCGATTATATTAATTTAATTGGTGAACATTTTTCAAGGAGATTCTTTGTCTCAAAATGGATCAACGTTTAAGATTAGTTTCAATGCCATCCGGAACTTTGACATATAACGTTAATTAAAATAATAAATTGAGTCTGAATAGATGGTTATTTTTATATAAACATTTATATTATTGTAAGGTAAATTGTATTAGAACTGTAAAATAGTCAAAAATTTGAACATGAACTGTGAATTTAGAAACAATAAAACGAAAATCACACGTTTTGATGAATTCGCCGAAGTTTCACAACATTTCAGATTAGAAAATCGCTAATTAATTAATTAATTATTACAGTTCTTGAAGAGGGATCGTGGCGATGATGCGATTCATTTTTGTTTAAATAATTGCCCTTTAATGAAATTGCAAACATATTGAAAGTGCGAAATTTAATTTTTACTGTCAGAATATCACGGGGGGCTTTAATATTAAAATATTCATCAAGCATATTTTGTTTTTGTTAAAAAATTATTGTCGTTATAAAGAACGCTGTTGCCACAAAATTTTTATTTCTATAAAACAACATTTTATGAAAACTAAACAAAAACTATATCTTACTAACTGTCAAATGTTTTCCTAAAATAATAACACAAAAAATAACGTTTAAATTATTAATCGTTTAAAATTGGCGGGAAGTCACGTTCGTTTTTAATACACCTGTTTCTTTGTCGTTTGCTACGCCACTGGTTATCGAGTGATGCGTCAATTTATCAATGCCAAAGCGCGAGAAGCGCTCAAAAACCAAAACAAGCTTAAAAGTGATCGTATTTTAATATTTAAGTTATTGTATTTTCAGAATAAACTGTCGTACTTACAATTAAATAATTTATAATGAGTTCTGCAAGCAAGGTAAGCGCTCTATTAATCATTGCAGTATTTTTTCCAACAGTTAAAAACAAAAAGTAAGGTTATGCATGTAAACTTGGTTTTTTAATAATTAATGCGTACCACAAAAGAAACCAAGCTACTCTAAACCGCTTTATTTTAGGTGGGCGAAATTTTTACGGCCGCAGGCCAAGCATTCAACAGACTAGGTGATCTTACAATGCAATTACACCCCAATGTCGAATCTCAATCAGGGTAAGTGTTTACTTTCGAATATCTCAAAAATAACGCATTTCCATTTAGCAAATGGACCGACGAAGAAATTGAGATGCTCAGACAAGTAGTCAAACAATTTTCTGAAGGTTTAAATCAAATTAGTGAACATATTAAAAGGCGGACAGTGTAAGTCATCCCAATTTCTTCAAATTGAATGATTCTCATTATAAAGTGGTCCATTTAGGTCTCAGATTAGAACGGCCTTAAAAAAGAAAGCATTTGAGGATGCCGGACTCCCAGTCAGACAACTAAATACAGTAACGCAACCTCAACAACAAAATGTTCAGCAACCTTTAATTAAGTCCGAAGTTACATTAAACATGTTGAACGCGGCGGAGTCCGAAGTAGACGTCGAAGGACTACACGAGGAAGTGAAGTTGGAGTTTGATGGTGCAAATGAAGAAGTTTCTTCATAAGTAATATAGGTGTAATTTTTATGGAAATATTTTTATTGTAATTAAATTATTTTAAGTATCTGTGGATGTTTTAAAAATAATTAATTTTCGACCCCAGTCACCTAGGTCGCTTTGGTAGATTTTCGTCGCATGGAGGTTCAGCATGAATTGTTCGATTTCATCTTCTACAGTTTGTCTTATTTTTAGTTCTTTGAACAAAGGAAAGTTGGCGTTACTGAGTTTCAAACGCTTAACTGCACTCCTGTAGCACTTCCATGGTTGAGGTTCAAGTATGATTAAATTACCTAAATTGCAAATTTCGCTCAGGAAGGTTTTTAAACCTTCGTCGCCATAATTCAAATGTATCCACATTGTAATCGAGAAACACGAGATTGCATCAAATCTCGTCAGTTTTCGTTTTTTCAAATAGTCCTTTATTAAAATCCTGCTACTTTCATTCATAAAGTCTAGACATAAAAATTCAACGTTGTCCATGGTTTGTACTTTTTCGTTAGACCGTTGTACCAAGACTGGGTCAATATCGACGCCTAGAATGTTGCATAAACATTGTTTTTCTTTTAAAAAGTTTGATAAGGAGATTGTTAGATCCTAAAATGGTAAATATTATTACCTGATTGAGTATGTCTGTGTTACATACCCCAGCATTGCTTCCCAAATCAAGTACGTGGAATGGCTTATTCTTTGGCCAAATATCTGATGGCAGCAACTTCAAACGAGTTTCTGGGGGATGGAATTGGTAATAATTTATGAAGTTACCATACTGCACTGCCCCTGGGTTACCCCCTTTAAAACTGAATTCTGTGGTTTCAGTCATAACTTCGATACAACATTTTGTTAATAATTACACATTACGTGACATTACCATGATTACAGACTTAAAAATGTTTACACATAATTTGGACCAGGGCTTTAGAAGTTTAGACAGTTCCTTTTTAGTGTTTTTATTTGTGTACCAACTTATGATACACGTGTAACAAGATCATGATAATACAGAAATAACCTTCATATTTTTAGTGTAGGCACTGACACATAGATGGCGACACAAAGACCAATACAAACTAGCACAAAAAAAACGTATCATGTAAGACTACTATTGCTTGTCAATTTGATTCGCTTTTACTTAAACTTTTTTTTCAGTGTGTATTATTATAAAAGATTTGTTAAATATCCTATAATACAATTACACTCTTATATAACAGATTTTTTGAAATTTTAGCCATTTTGCTTTTTGTTTAAATTATACATCAGATGATATGTAAGCACCAGGAGCCCTGAACTCTCGATTTAGCCGAAGCTTTGTTTTTCAATATGTTTTAGTTTTATAAAAAAATATTATTATTTCAAAAACATATTTTGACTTGTTTTCCCAGCATAATTATGTCTAATGTGATAATTTTTAGTCCTTGCTTCTTGTGGCTTTGATAAGCTGTTGTTGTTCCCAAGAAATTCAGACTTCGGTTTTTTTCTGAGTTCTATTGCTTATTATCAGCGGACTAGTTTTATGTAGGTTTTTCACTTTGATTTTAATTGTCGACTTTACTATTGTATACTAATCACAATCACAAAAAAATTCTAATCACATTTTGATACCACGTCGGTAACGCAATAACTATCGCTCTTGACTGACAGTTTAATTATCATCAACTGACGCAAGCGTATCAAACGCTAGATTAAAGTACAAAAAATCGCCTTGCAACTTTTTCACTTGGGTAGGTTAACTTGTCATTTATAATATTATATTATAAAGTAAATTCCACAGAAATAGGTTTATTGGCAAGGTAAATGTGATCTTGGTGTCCATTTTATTCAAAAAATTGATAACATCGTTTTAAAATGTTGTTGAGTAGTTAAGTTTTAAAAAAATAAAATACAGTTGGACTATTTTAGCAGGTAGTATTGACTATGTATGCTTCAGAAGTGGGAGTCGTTCAATGCAAATAATCTTGCTTTATTTCCAAAAAAAAAAAACTGAGTTAAAAATCTACAAAGTTTAAACATTTCGCAAGTACCAACGAATGCACAGAAACCTTAAGTATTCAACGAATTACTTGTATGTTGTTGTATGTTCTAATAAGCACTTAAACCTTATTAGCATCATTATCAGCATTAGTTCAGCAGTTAAAACTTTTATTGTCGTCATTCTGATTATTTTAGCATAAATTATGATAGGTGCTATTTGCCAACTATCTATTGAGAAGCTCTATCTATATCTGATTTTTATCTTGTTTAAACTGTATAATTATTAATGATCTCTCTTCTTGTATTGTTATATTATTATGACAATGTAATAGTTGTCCCCGACCTGAATAATAGAGGGGAGACCTTGTTATTGATGGAGTCAATCCAGCCTAACCCAGTTGTTATACTTGACCTAGCACAACATACGAATTTGAATACTTCGCCAAGTTTTATCTCCACAATAATAAGGAGATCATATTTATTGTTTGATTAAGATATTATATTTTATTTTATTTTTTGTAACCGAGAATGTTTATTATTCTATGATTTATTAACTTTTTTTATATTTATGCAAATATTTAACTCATTTGATTATAAATAGAGATCTCTGTTTGTGTCTTTTAAAACAAAATTTTGGTGGAAGTTGTATTTTTTTGAATATTTTCGGCGTAGATTTCACACGAAGTTAACGAATTGTATTGTAAGCACTGTCATTGTAGATATGCGTAAGTACGTCAAAGTATGGAAAAAATAAATGTAGAAACTGTTGATAAATGTAAACATTAATTTGTATGATGTAACATTATTTGTTGTTTATATTTTGCCCTAAAAATAAGAAAAAAAATTTGGAGATGCCGGGAATCAAACCTGGGACCCTTCACATTTAAAGCGCTTATTTCACGACTATACACATTCTGTGATATATAGTGACATTGATATTGTGATATTTTTATTTAACATCTTCCTTTTGGTTGGCTTCTCGATATCTCTAACATTATGACATTAAAATGGCTTAACTCTCAAGTTTCGAGGGATCTCGATCGTTCTGTTTGAGAAATATTATAAATATTAGTCAATAGTCAATGTTAATTTTTAAAACTCTAGTCGTCTGTTTAAGATGTATCAACTTTGTTCGTTACGTCTCTTTGTGGCCACTTGCATCAACGATACTTAAAATTTAAGTATTGGTTAAGTCCTAAATAAGCTTGTACTAAACTTGAAGAAGTCATTGTGTGGTATTAAATGGTAGTTAATAAAACCAAGCCGACAATCTTGGTCCATCTGTAAGCAGGATACTTCGTAACTTGGTAATGTTTTTCTTCTTCTTGTATAGTTGGGGAAATTTAAAGTGGCAGTAGGATTATCAGATAATAATAATTTATTACCCCTTGAGTCAAAGATAAACATGGTTTGTAGGTTTAATCTTAGCTTTATTAAACTGGAAACCTCTCAAGTCAGTCAAATCCAGTTTCTTTCAAAAATGATAAAATTTGATTTTTCGATTTTTTTTTGTGATAATCTTTATACAGTCAGAACAAGATAGATCGTACTAGTCAATATGGTGTGAGAGAAAAAAAGAAAGAACCATGTTGGGATCTTCATGGCTGGCGTTACTCGTAATAGATTATTATACTCCGTTTTTTTTTAGAAGGCTTCGATGTTTTGGAGAAAAACTCAGAGCGGCAGAAAATCTCCGAAACTACTGGATCGATTGTTGTCAAATTTTGCATGTAAAAAATATTAGGAATATCGTGAGATGATAAAACTAACCAAAAATTTTCTAATCATCTCTACCAACAATGAGATAACATCATCTCCAAAATTTACAATAGCAAATATTTTTAAATTTTTATAAAGTAAGATATTACTGAACTTGTGGTTTACGAATCCGTGTTGAGTTTTAACCCTACACATCATCCAGAGTTTTGGAAAAAATCTAAATTAAATAACAACATTTTATAATTTGACTTTGAAAAATATTGCAAAATCGAATGCCCTTAAATTTTGCATGTTTTAATGTAATCTTAGGAATTCGTTAATCAAAATTTACTCTTTTTAACCCCATCTAAAAATGATGACATCATCTTACAATTTTACCGAATAAATGTTACCTAAATTTTATAAAATATATACCCCTATATGTGTAATTTATCAATCCATGCCGAAGTATTACCTTAGACATACAGATTTGCTAGAAAAAAATAACAATTAAATAACAAAATTTTACAATTTAATTTTGAAATTGCAAAATCGAATGCTCTGAAATCTTTTAAACATTTGTCTAATCATCCCCACCACCAATGGGATGACGTCATCTCCAAAATTTACAATAATATATATTTGTTTTAATTTTATAAAGTAAGATACTCTTGCACTTGTGATGTATGAATCCGTCTTGAGCTTTCTCCCTTGACATTCAGATTTTTGGAAAAAAAACCGAAAATTGTACAACAGCATTTTGTAATTTAACTTTGAAAGCACAAAACCGAATGCTCTGAAATCTTGCAGGCGTTTTAAGGTTATCGTAATGATGGTAAATCGTTATTCAAAATTTATTCGTTTATCCTCTCTCAAAATTTTGTCAAATAATTCCATGTCGAAAATGTGCAAAACATGATGAGTATATACTTGTGATATCATTCCATTTATAATTTTTAGCATTGATTATACATGGCGACTCAAAAAAAATCTGAATGGGTCAATTTGTTTTATTGATTAAATCAGAAACTGCAAAACCGAATGTTTTGAAAATTTGTAGACCTTTTAAAATCACCGTAAGCATGGTAAATTTGTAATCAAAATAAATCTGTTTGCCTCCTCCAAAAAAATCATGACGTCATTTCAAAATTTTGCCGAATAAGTTCTATCGAAAATGTGTAAAACATGATGAGTCTATACTTGTGATTTATCATTCCATTCATATTTTTTAGAATTGCTTATACAGGGTGACTCAAAAAATAAGAATGAGTCAATTTATTTTATTGAATTAATTTGAAACTGCAAAACAGAATATTTTCAAGTCTTGTAGACGTTTTAAAGGTATATCGTAAGCACGGTCAATTTGTAATCAAACGTATCTGTTTATGCCTCCAAAAAATTGATGACGTCATTTAAAAATTTTGCCGTACTTGTGATTTTTCATTCCATTTATATTTTTTAGAATAACTTATCCCGGGTCGCTCAAAAAAATTAATGAAAGAGTCAATATATTTTATTTGTCAAAGTATGAACGAGTCGCTGTATTTTCCCGAAAATTTGGAAATATAATAGCGTTATTATTAATATTACACTACACCTATCGAAATTGATATACATGTCTTTGCAAAAAATGTTGATGACGTCATCACAAAAGTTTATAAAGGAAAAACTTATTTGAAACACACCCGTAACACGCTTCTTTACATTTACTTTAACATTGCACACATATATTTATTTTAACTTCAAGGGGTTCTCATCAAAATAATAAAATTTATAAAATAAAATTTGATCATTTTTCGAAAAACCTGGATAGTTTTATTGCATTTCAGAGGCGAGGGAAGTTCTGTCGAAATAACCTTCGACCAAATTTTTGAATTATCTCCGTAACCCTGAGTCTGAAAGAAAATTCCAAAGGGAATTTTTGTAGGTAATATAATTATTTATAAGTTTTAATTACAATTTTTTGACGCAACATTAGGTAATAATAAGCTAGCCCCTCAAATAGAAATAAATAAAATGTTTTATATTCTTTTGTTCACAACTTTTTTAATATTAAACTTACGCCGAAAATTTATTAATAAAAGTTGTAGATAATTATATTATCTTAGAAAATTCTTTTCAAAAATTTGTGCCAGAATCACAGTAACGGAGATATATGTATCAAAAACTAATTCCACCCTTCTTTTTAAGATGGCGAACGACTGACAGCAGCCCCAGTCCCGAAAACTCAGTTTTAGATTAATAGACAACCCCCTTACGAAACCCCCCAAAAAATCGCTGTCCACTCAAAATGCACGATTTCATGCCGAATTGACTATACTTTATCTAAAATACGCAAAATATATATGTATATTGTTGGTGGAGTGATTCTGATTAGACAAATTTTGGTTAGCGTTTTATCATCTACATGACATTACTAAAATACATATAAAATTTGACAATAATCATTAAATTCGAAGAGGACTTATATGTCCAATAAAAATCGACAGAGACAGATAGACAGGCAGACAGATGACAAACAGACAGAAACGGGAGACCTATGTTTTCGTACTTGCCAGGTAATGAAATCAGCCATTCTGCGGATACACCATATCACAATACTTCCTCAGCTTACACTCGGGAAGAAAACTTCAACCGTTTTAGAAGAAATATTGTATTTTGGACATCTGATTTTATGAGAATATGTATTTTATGTCAATATAATCTCAATTTAATGATCTCTTAAAGTCCGTTAAAAACATACGGTGAAATTTAAAGCATATATAGGTTTACGCTGTGACACCAATGACATATATATATACGTCATATGTGCGATGTACTAAATTAAGCTTCCCCTTTCAAGCTAAAAACAATGGCGTTTACAGAATTAATAAGATAAATCCATAACTAATATAAGAAGATATTTAAAGACAACAAAAGACAGAATAATTTTGGAATAAAACAG